TAAATAGATAAATAGAATATATAAATTAGATACTAAAATAATACCTTTAATACTATATTAATTATAAATAGACTAATTAAGTTAAAAAGCTATTAGCTACTTAGCTAGCTTATAATATAGCTATAAATAAAAGCATAAAGGTTATATTAGCTTATACTAATTTTAGGTTTATATTAAATACTTACTAATAATTATAGGATATTATTATTAACCCTAAGGTAATCTTTATTAGTAATTAACTATATAACTTATATAAAGAAATATAAATAAAACTTAAGTTTATTAAAAATAAAATAATAAATTATATTAATAAGAAATAAATTAAGGGATTAACCTTCTTAGAGGGAGATATAATCTATCTTATAATAAAAAATATTAAAATAAAATAATAAAATAAAAAATTTAATTATAAATATATTAAACCCTATAAAATTAAATAAAAAATCTTAAAATATAACTATAAATTAGACTTATTACTTAAGGTTAAGCTCTATCTAATCTTTTATATTTTATTACTTAAATTAATATAAGATATTATCTAAGTAAACATAAACGATAAACCTAATATAGAAATTAATAGACTAAAAGAATATATTATAAAGGCTATTCTTAATATAAATAAAATTAATAGTAAAATAATATATTTTATTAAATAAAAAGATTATCTTAACTTAGAAAATATATAAGAACCCCTAGAATACCTTATTAATATATAATGCCTTCTAAAGAACTTTTATTAATAATAAGTAAAATAATATTATTAAAACTTTTCCTTAAACTTAATAAAGACTAATTTATCTTATTAGGAATACCTAAAGACTAAAGGTCTTATATTATATATTATTTATAAGTATCTAGAGCTAAAATAAGATTACTTTTTGCTTTAAGCTCTAAGGTACCTTATTTAAATAAATCCGTACTCTGCTTTTTAACTTTTTTCTTTATTTTTTAAATCCTCTATAAATAAGTAATCGCCTCGGTAAAAAATAATTAAAGCTCTGCTAATTAATTATAAAAAAAAAAAGACCTAATTACCTACTTTATTTTCTTCTTAGTCTAATTTCTCTTATTAATTAATTAATTTATTTATTATTAAGATATTAGCTATAGATATATAAAAAACGGAAAGGGCTAAATATATATAATAAGGCAATATAAACCTTATTATAAAAATAACCCCGCCTTATATATTATTTATATTTCCCTAAATAATTAGAATTATTTATCTTATAAGTAATTTTTTTCTTAAAATAATAAATATAAGGTATATTAATAATAATAAAATTTTAAGTAAAATATTATAATAAGGATTATTAATTAGAAATATTAGTTTTATATGATTTCTCGATTTTTCCTAATATTATATTAGTAGCATAGAAATAATTATAAAAGGAAATTAAGATTAACTAATTAAAGGACCTTAGCCTAATAAAAGGTCTTAAGGACGAGAACTACTAGAAGAGAGGAGATTATATTATAACCTAATAGGCTTTATATTATATAGGAATAAAAGCCCTATAAATTCCCTTCTATATTAACTTATTATAAAGTTATTTATTATTCTAAATATAAGCCTTACTCTTTGGATTATAAGCCTCACGGTTTAAATTATAAGCCTTATAATTTAAATTATAAGGTACCTAAACTATATAAAGTATATAAAATATATTTATTATACTTTCTTATATAATAGTTACCTTAGCTATTAATATTACTTAGTTATACTTAATACCCTTAAGCATATTACTAGATATAATATTATACTACCCTTTAAGGTTACGTAATATTCTCCTCTGCTAATATAAACCTAGTACGACCGGTTTATCCCTTGGGAAATACCCTCTCGTCATAGATAGCTTTTAATATAATAGGTCTTTAATATCTTTTAGTTTAATAGGTATTTAATATAAATCTAAAGTTAATATATATAAATATTACTTTTATATTCTTATTATAAGTAAAATTTTAAGTAAGCCAGGTAATAAATAACTTATTAATTTAGTTTACTTATTAATAATTAATATATTAATAAAAGTATTATTTAATAACCTAATTAAGTTATTTAATTTATTTATTAATTTAGGGTTAGAATATTATAATAAGTTAATAATTAAGTTTTATTTTAGCTATAAGTAATTATTAAAATTTTAAAGTAAATATAAATCTTTTATTAAAAAGGATTTCTATAAGTAGGCTATAAATATTAATAATATTATAAAGGAATATATAAGAAAGTTTTTTTATATTAATAAATTTTTAAAATAAGATAAAATATATAAATTTTATAAGGTAATTAATAATAATAAAGATATTATTATAAAGGAATTTAATTAAGGGGTCTTTTAATAAAAGTAATTTTATAATAAAGTCTATTATAATTAAATCTTATAATCGCTATATAATAAGTAATCGCGGATGCGCTGCCATTGCCTCCGGTTTAGCGGCACCGCCTAAACGGGCAAGGTGCGCTCGCCGCACCTAACTCCGACTACCTATTATGTGACCCTCCTCTATATAAGACGATAACCTCCTCGGGCCCTATAAGTATATATCTTTGACCTCTGTTTTCTCCTATGCTCCGCTTATTCGTATCTATCGTTTCACCTCTTCTATAAGCATAGATGCCTTTAGCTAGCTCCCTCGCCCATCCTGCCGCGTTATCGTTCTGCATTGAAATGAAGTTCTCCCACGGGGATTGACCGACCATTGCGACGCTTGCGTCGTCCCCAAGGCCAGATTGCGGTGTTGTAGTAGACGGAGGTATGAAAATGATTCTATGATTCACGGTCATCCTATCCTCTAATACTATTGCCAGCTCTACTCTGCGTTTCGTATGGCTTTCCTTCCCGCGTTCTTCTCACGGAATCTAGTAATGCTAATTGTCTAGAGGCGTACCCCTGGTTGGGCTGCCTCATAGCGCTGCGATGCTTCTTAGGCAGCAGCAAAGTATCTCACGGTAATGTCTATTCTTGTGAGGCCCCGAGTAGACGGCTAGCTAATGGTAGAAATGCCGCAGTGGCTTATCAATGGCCCCCAACGCATGATGGAGGATGGTGCTATCTCGGACTCGCCTCCTGAAACTGGCACGGGTGGCTCCAGAGGCTTCTGGCATGAAGTTGCTCCTGATTGGTTCCCAGAGCGGGTAGACCGGGCAGAGCGGGCGAAGTGTGTGATCACGCCTCGCTTGACGGGGCCCAAGTCGCCATTCCCCTGTTCAGGGGTTGGCGAGACTACCCGCCGCTTGGGGGGTTGTTCCCTCGATTACTACCTGCTGGTCCTCGGCGCACCCGTTCCTGTGCCCCTCATGATGGCTGGCCAGCCTCAAAAACGAAGGGAGCCAGTATGCCGAGAGGGATAATTGGGTGAAGAGGAGGAGACGGGGATAGGCGTATTACGGCGAGTTAGTGTTGTATGTATGTAACCTCGGTTATCTCATTATTGCGGGACTATGAGGCGTTTATGACGGTATCTAGAGCTCTTAAGTCCTCTGAATGGTTTAAGAAGTTCGCGGCTATAATGATTAATATATATGGGCGTAGCGTTGACCTCTATTATAGCTAGACGGAAGAACTAATATTATTAGAAGCTTCCTACCCGATGCTATCTAATTAACTAGAGATTATATATTATATATAAATAGGCTAATAGCTATTAAGACCTACCTTATCTAGTATCTCTGAGAACTCTACCTTATTATCAAGTAGTATAGATCCTTAATAATATGCGAGAAGATAAAGCGAGGAGGAAATTATCTATTTAGCATAGCTATATTAATATAGCCTGGCAATAAAGTAATTAGTATAAAAGAGAAGCGGTTATATATCTGCCTCCTCTATCTAACTCGCCCTAATCTTGGAGAATAAGGGGATATAGTAGAAGGCATCGGGCTAGGCTCCTGTAGGCTATGAGACTCGTGTGGTTTAGCTGTGAGCATATAAGATAGATAATGCCCGCCTATCTTCCGTTTTATTGTATTGCTAGAGCAACCCCTATATCCCTTAACTTCTAAACACTCGGCAAATCCAACATGATATCAACAACCTCTAATGCCTGGCAGCAAAAGTTGCGGCAAAGCTTTACCCCCCCTGCCCCTTAAGCAGTCGATATATCGCCGTCCGACCAAGAGGAACTCTTAGCTTCTAGAGAATCTAGACACGCCGCCATTTGGATTTCTGACGACGAGACTGATACAGAAGTTGACGACGACGATGAGGGTCAAGATTTCTATGACTCGCAATCATGCACAATACCTACGACTAGCATCGCAGACCATTTGGGTAAGTTCTTTAATATTATCGTTCTTTCTGGTGCAGGTCCTGATAGCCTGTATGTAGATAGCACGGGCACTAAACATAGTCCAACTGAATCAGAGGTCGCCATCGGTATGGATACTACGCCAGCAGTATCTCCGGCTCGAGCGGAGGACGACCTAATTCGGACACACGACTTATACATGGACCTCCTCGCTGATCCTGAACCGAATCAATAATCTCCTTATTAGGCGAATCGCACATCCGCTAGAGACTCGATGGCTTATATAGATACCAGCTTTAATGTCTCGCCTACTAGCCCCAAAAGTTAGCTATATCTAAGTATATTAGACGAATAATAGCTTATTACCGAAGCTATTAGAGCCACTAGCGAGCCGGGCCTTATGATAGTTAATGCTCTCTCTAATGAAGGTTCTTGCCATGGGGCATAGAGTATTCCTATGTCCCCTTTAATACGTATATATAGTCCTATTATTATTGGCCCTGAAGAGATAGCTTATACCTTATTGTATGATAGCGTAGTATATGTAAGCACCTCGCCTTATAATGCTATCCCTAGAGCCTATATTTTATCCCCCGTAATAAGGCTATTACCTGAATTATAATAAGAGTAAGACTTCGACCGCATTAGCTGCGGAACTAGTGATACTAAGTCTGAGTCCTCGGAGGCTAAATCTAGATCGCTATTTAGAGCCTGAGTATCTTCCCCGCCTTAGGAGTTACCGTCCCGGCGCCGTTCTTATCGTAGATCCTTATATATATATAAAATGGTATAAGATATAGATAGTGATATAGATACTAAAGGCTCTAGTAGTAAGGATAGCCTTAATATTCTAGAATATATATATAATAAGGATTATTATTTTTTGCCTCTAATAATTTAGGGATCTAGCTTAGAAGATAATGATTTCGACTATAAATACTAAGATTATAAGTATCGCAAGGTCTCTAGGTCTCTTTTTTATTTAATATATAATATAATTACTAATACCTGGGGTTCTCTATAAAGGAGGCAATCTATAAGAGCTATTATATATTTATTAAGGGAGTATAATATATTAGTACTTAGCGTATTAAGTCTAATATTATTATATATAAGATCTATTCCCTTTAAGGCCTATATATTTCTTATTTAGTTTTAGAAATAGCTACTTAAGAATATTTTAATAAAATATATTACTAAAAATAATAATACTATATTTTAATTCTAATTTAAGTAGCCCCTTTATATAAATTATCTATATATTATTAATATAATCCCTAATTTAATCTACTTAGTCGCGATAAAAAAAATAACTAAGCGAGCTCTAATAAGATAAGTAAAGTATTTATGTGACAAGAGGGTATTTCCCAAGGGATAAACCGGTCATACTAGGTTTATATTAGCAGAGGAGAATATTATATAACCTTAAAGGGTAATATAATATTATATTTAGTAATATACTTAAGGGTATTAAGTATAACCAAGTAATATTAATAGCTAAGATAATTATTATATAAGAAAGTATAATAAGTATATTTTATATACTTTATATAGTTTAAGTACCTTATAATTTAAACTATAAGGCTTATAATCTAAAGAGTAAGGCTTATATTTAGAATAGTAAGTAACCTTATAATAGGTTAATATAAAAGGGAATTTATAGGGCTTTTATTCCTATATAATATAAGGCCTATTAGGTTATAATATAATCTCCTCTCTTCCGGTGGTTTTTATCCTCGAGACCTTTTACTAAGCTAGGGTCCTTTAATTAGTTAGTCTTAATTTCCTCTTATAATTATTTCTATGCTATTAATATGATATTAGGAAAGATTAAGAAATTATATAAGACTAATACTTCTAACTAATAATCCTTATTGCGATATTTTACTTAAAATTTTATTATTATTAATATATCTTATATTTATTATTTTAAGAAAAAGATTATTTATAAGATAAATAATTCTAGTTATTTAGAGAAATATAAATAATATATAAGATAAGATTATCCTTATAATAAGGTTTATATTACCTCGTTATATATATTTAGCCCTTTCTATTTTCTATATATCTATAGCTAATATCTTAATAATAAATAAGTTAATTAATTAATAAGAAAAATTAGACTAAGAAGAAAATAAAGCGGGTAATTAGGTCTTCTTTCTTTATAACTAATTAATAGAGCTTTAGTTATTTCTTACTGAGGCGGTCGCTTATTTATAGAGGATTTAGAAAATAAAAAAGAAGATTAAAGAGCAGAGTATAGATTTATTTAAATAGGGTACCTTAGAGCTTAAGGTAGAAGATAGTCTTATTTTAGCTCTAGATACTTATAAATAATATATAATATAAGACCTTTAGTCTTTAAGTATTTTTAATAAGGTAAATTAGTCTTTATTAGGTTTAGGGGAGGATTTTAATAATATTATTTTATTTATTATTAATAAAAGTTCTTTAAAAGGTATTATATATTAATAAGGTATTCTAGGGATTCTTATATATTTTTTAAGTTAAAGTAATCTTTTTATTTAATAAAATATATTATTTTATTATTAATTTTATTTATATTAAAAATAGCCTCTATAATATATTCTTCTAGTTTATTAACTTTTATATTAGGTTTATTATTTATCTTTACCTAGATAATATCTTATATTAATTTAAGTAATAAAATATAAAAGATTAAATAGAGCTTAACCTTAGGTAATAAGTCTAATTTATAATTATATTTTAAGATTTTTTATTTAATTTTATAAGGTCTAATATATTTATAGTCGAGTTTTTTATTTTATTATTTTATTTTAATATTTTTTATTATAAAATAGATTATATCTCTCTCTAAGAAGGTTAATCCCTTAATTTATTTCTTATTAATATAATTTATTAACGTGGTTAATAAGTGAGTGGGTCAGACAAGTGAGTGAGTCAAAAAACCCTCAACCTACTACATTTCTATTTAATCAGATACTTTACAACCACCCAACATGTCACAGACTTCAAATAAGGCTAGAATCCTTCTTACACTTCAAGCCCTTCAAAATAACCCAAACCTAAGTCTCCGACGCACAGCAACTATATACTACGTCCCCTTCGAGACCTTACGTCGCCGCCACCATGGCATTCAATCGCGACGCGATACTATCCCAAAGTCACGGAGACTATCTAATCTAGAGGAACGAATAATAGTCTAATTCATTCTTAACCTAGATTTACGAGGATTTCTATCGCGATTGCGTTTTATAGAAGAAATAGCTAATTCTCTGCTCGCTGACCGCGATGCGTCACCCGTCGGCAAGCGCTGGGCTTATAACTTCGTCAAACGACAACCAGAGCTAAAGATACATTTATTTCGGAAGTATGACTATTAGAGAGCTAAATATAAAGATCTAATTATTATTCGTGACTAGTTTAGGCTCGTATAGAACATAATCGCGAAGTATAGCATCCGGTTAGATAATATCTAGAACTTTAATAAGACTAGCTTTATGATGGGCATCATAATGGCCGGAATGGTTATCACTGGTTCAGAAAGGCATAGAAGACTAAAATCAGTATAGCCTAGAAATCGAGAATGGATTACTATGATCCAGGCGATCAACGCGGAAGGTCAATCAATCGCGCCGTTTATTATTAGTGCAGGCCAATATCACCTTGCGAATTAGTACCGAGAATATGACCTCCCAGGCGACTAGGTTATTATAACAAGCCAAAATGGATAGACAAATAACAAGCTAGGTCTCAAGTGGCTAAAGCACTTTGATCGGTCTATAACCAACCGATCAACTAGTCCCTATCGTCTTTTAATCCTCGATAGTCACGAAAGCTACCACTCCGCCGATTTCGAGAGATATTATGAGGAGAACAAGATTATTACTCTTTGTATGCCAGCTCATACATCTCACCTACTCTAGCCTCTTAATATTAGGTGCTTTTCAGTGCTTAAAAAGGCATATAGTCGATAAATAGAGTATCTAATCAGATACTCTATAACCCACATTTCAAAGATCGAGTTCTTTTCCGCATTTTACGCCGCTTTTAAAGCTACTTTCACTAAAAGCAATATCCGGGGAGGGTTTAAAGGCGCCGGGCTTACTCCCTTTGACCCGGAAAATATAATCTCGAAGCTTAATATGCAGCTACGGACTCCGACGCCTCCCGAGGAGGTTACTAAACCCTCGACCCCTTAGACTTCAAAGACCCCAAAGATATCACTTAAGGCCTAATCTTAATCTAAATACCTCGAAAGGCGAATCAAAAGGCATAAAAGCAGCTCCCCAGAGTCGATTATTAAAGCTTTAAAGTCTAATACTAAAGCAACAAAGGTAGTTATACATAAGGTTATCTTATTGAGGAGTGAGGTCTAAAACCTTTGGGAAGCAAATGAGATACTAAGCCGGCGCCGGA